AACGATAGTCGGTAAAGGCTTATCAAACCCGTTGATGGCTGAGAATTTGCCAAAAATTCTATAAATGCGAGTCATTGACGTATCAGCTTCATTAGTTGGTCTCATGACTTGAACATCCAACAAACTTCAGGATAAGATCCACACGTGCAGATGAATCAGCTTTAATAGTTGGTCCTGCAGCCCAACATTCGGGACCGTCACGCTCCAATGCCTTAAGAGCTTAAACTGTGTAGACTCCAGCAAACGTACGAGTATAAACTGTGTTAACGCCGGTCAACGCGTTACAGTAAAGATCGATGCCGGCCAACGCATCAGCAATTTCGCCAAAATAAGGCAAAAGATGACTCCAAGGATTTCAGTTACAATCAGATATGAATTCCCGACGGAGAGGATTAGTTCAAAGTCAACTCAATGGCACGAGCTAAGTTCAGAAAGTTACACACCAATCTCAGTTCAAGATTTCGACAACGGTCAGACGATAAACGCATCGCCGGAAGAACTTCACCTATTCAACGAAACAATGAATAGATTGAAGACTGAAGAAGTTAAGAATTGAGATAGTTCAAGGTCACTCTACGAAATTGAGGAGATGGCCTATCTTATCCAAAGCATTCCAGACTCCTTAATAAAAGAATGAGTCTGGAATACTTTGGAGGGGGTATCTGTAGGCGTCTAAAAATGCCTATAGGTGTCCGTACACAGCTTGAGACAGAGAGAAGACGACGAACATCGTTATCCGAGTCTAAGAGGATTATCTGATGCCGACAAGCGCCTGAAGCAAAACGGCGAATCAAGTGACCTACATGCTCGACAATCAGCTCGTGCGCGCCAATCAGCTCGCATGCGTCAATCAGCTCGCGCGCGTCAATCAGTTCATGCGCGTCGATCAACACGCGTGTGACAATCAATTCGTGCATGTCGATCAACACGCGCACGTTAATCAGCTTGCACGCGTCAATCAACATGCGTGCGTCAATCAACACGTGTGTGTCAATCAACATGCGTTTGACGGTCAATCCCGCAACGAAGCGTACAAGTCAACAAGATGATCAATTACGCAAAACCGGAGAAACTACAAGTCCCGTAAAAGTCAAGAAACGTACAAGTTCGGCAGAAGTGACGGACCCGTGCCAGCGCAGGACGGAACAGACCGACCCACGCAAGCGCGGGTCAGATCTGTCTGACCCGGTTTATCGGTTTCAGGGGTTCTTAACTGACTTGAGATCATCCCTAAACGTTGTTAGGCTGCTGTTGACTGAAGATAGAGCCAAATCCCTTGTTCTTATCCAAATAACCGCATTTTGAGGCCTATAAATATGAACCAAAGGCCTCCATTTTCTGGGGCGATTGATTATCAAGACGAGGAGGTGCTGCCGGATTGTGGAGTCAAAGGAGCACGAATTTCAGCGAGGGTTGACAGATCTTGGCGAGTTCTTCGGCATAAAGAAGGAGAGTTCGAGAGATCCGACGCCCGTTCCCGTCCGTCCCTTGAGATTAGGCTTGGTCTTAATCTCGAGAAGAGCCCTGATTTCGCTTGGTCGATCTCAGCGCTTCAAATCAAATACTTCCTCGGTGAAGACGAAGCTCTGCCGAATTTTTCATCAACCGGATCCAGATCTAAGGTGGTCCACGGATAAACCCCGGCACAGGCAAAGATCCCACGCAAACAGAAGACCGATAAACGATCTCTGCGTTTGTTTTGACGAGAGTTGTAACTTTTTGTTTTCATTGTGTAAAAGTCTTATAAAAAGACAATCTTTTTTATTTCATTGTAACGACTAAAGTTGTAATGAATACCGCAATGAATACAATAATTTTCGACGCAAACAATCCGGTGTCTTTTCTTGACATGGGTCGCTCTTGATTTTCAGTTTTGTTGGGTTTATCTGGGCTTTTTGTTCGATCGCTTAATTGGGTTTTTTTTGGTTTTGTTGAAAGAAGAAATTGAACTGGATTAGGAATGATTTATGCAAAATTTTGTACATTTGAAAATTTATGGGTATATAGTGGCTAATATCTTGTTTGATATCAGTATTGAGGAAATATCTGATTAGGTTTAATTGCAGGTGTATCTTTGGTATCCACTGAGTCTGATAACTGGCGGCACAACTGCGAAGATCATGGTTGCTGCAAAAGACAATTTTCTTGGAAAATATATATACAAAGAGACAATTGCCAGGAACCTTGCAGTTGTTATCTACCATAACATATCAAGCAAGAGTTTATGAAGCATTTCTGCAACGTTTGCAATTTTCCTTCTTCAAAATTCTCTTCTCAATCTTTGCAGGCAACAAAGGATCTGGCCGCACTCCACTAAACTGGGAATCATGCTCCGCCATTGCCCTCGCCGCTGCTAAGGGTATCGTCTTCACTCTGAGAATGAATTTTTTGACTCAAATTTGGAGATTTGGAGATGGGTCAGTTAATTTTTTTGTAAACTGCAATTATATTTTTTGTAAATTTGGAAATAGGACAGTTAAATTTTTTGTAAACTGTAATTGTATTTTTTATAAATTTGGAGATGGACTATGATAATGGCAATCAAGTTCCTGACTATTTTGTTGTAAAGTTGTTTATATTCTTTTTATATACTTGTGTTAAATTCTTTGTTGCTAGTTCTTAATTTAGATTATTCTGTGTCTAAAGAGTTGCATCGATGTATTTTTGTTTGTCGATATTTGCAATTCGTTGAAGTATATTTAAATATTGAATATGTCTTTGAAATAACTCCATGTTGTAAGTAGTGATAGTTTTTGTCTAAAGAGCTTGCGAAAAGTGTTCTTTTGTGTATGTATAAATTTTTTTACTAGTTATGTGTGTTAGGATATGTCTTGTATTTGATAAACGGGTCATTCGGGTTATATGGGTCGGGTCGGGTAACCCGTTTAATAATCGGGTCGGGTCACATTGACCCATTTATTAAACGGGTTGGGTCGGGTCACACTTATACGGGTCGGGTCAAATTTTATATGGGTCGGGTCGGGTCGGGTCGACCCGTTTGCCACCCTTAGCAGCTACTTGTAGATGGAGGATTTATGGCTCATGGAGTTTAACCAACACAAAGTGCCAGATGCAGTCCCCAAGTCCTATACATTCATGTAATAAAGTGTTGAATAATAGCCAAGCCACATCCACTTGGTTAGCAGATTCGGTATTCGATGCAAATTAAGGATAATCCTACTTGGAAAGTCATTTCCTATATGAGACAAGATCCACATGCTCAAGCTCCTATAATATCACATGGTGCATATGCTACATTCATTGTTCAAGGACAAGTTCAGTAAACATCATTCCATAGGGTTAAACTGTCAATTAGGAGACTGAATATGCATGAACCCACACCTAAAATAGCTCCTTCAACAACTTCAGATTTCTCAAATTTATTCAATAAGACAATGAAGGTAACTATTCAATTGAATCAACATTCTATAAGTGTCAACTCAATAAATATGAAGACCTTTCAACATAATCTACAATTGCAAAAAATTGAGAGATCATCAGAGAAGAACTAATGATTTCAGAGAAGTTGTAATTTTTTGTTATATCTTTTTGGGTATTTTTATTATATGAGAAATGAAATTGGTCTAAGAGTGATAATACTCTATGTTTTGCCTTTGCAATGTAATATGGATTTACAATTGGTGGGAAACAAAAAACTTCTTATGTGATTATATATTTGGTTGTGAAAATTTGGTTTCTTCAAGCTTATCCTATATATGTTGTTATTTGAGATGATGTTCAATGTTATGAAACATGTAGGCGGTGTTCATATTAGTGTGTATTCATGATGGTGTTGTATTGTGATAATCTGGTGAATGCTATCAAGTCATGGTGAATGTATTATAATAATATTGTGAATGTTCTTGTATTTAATATTAGCAGTGTTGTATTCATGAAATGTGAATTTTGGCCAACTTATCTTCTTATAACCCATAAAAATGACTAAGATGAACTACATTTTGATCACAACCTTTAAAGTTAAGATCATAAGCAACTCAACAAACATAATTGAAGCTCTCTTTTAACATACATTCTCCAACCTAATAATATTCTCTCTCCTAGATACAACTCATATCTCCTCAATTCACTTTCTTGGTCTCTCAATTTGCCTTCAATTTCAGCTTAACTTGTCCTCTCTAAGATTCAATTTATTACATTCTTCTCTAAGAAACTTTTTCTACCAATTACCTTCTTCATTGCAATCTAAGCTTGGAAGGGAAAAGCTTGGTCGTTCCATTCAAAATTTACACTTCGATGCAGGTCTATAGTTTGGGCAACTAAAGAAGCGACGACATCCATAATTCTCATGAGTCCAAGCCATCTCCATGTATGAAAAATCCTTGCAATAACAAACCCTAAACTCTCTCTCTTCCTTGATAGTTGATGAAGCCGAAGAAGTGGAATCTCCACTGATCAACTTCATTGTCTTCTTCAAAAGGAGAAAGAGGAGATAAATCTAGGGTAAAATCCAAAGAGAGTTAAATGATAAAGAGCTTGCATCATCATAAATAAAAAGGCATGAAATTGGTAAAAACGTCATAAAACAATTACGTGGGCATCTTTTGAAGAATATTCGCTCTTTTAGGTAGTAACGTGCAACAATTAGAAATTTTATGGTATTTTTTTGTAATAAAATGCAACTTATATGGTTTTAAAGTGAAACGAGAGGGAAACAATATGATGTTTGAGTGTAATTTATCCTGTACGAAATAAGAACAGAAGGGACACCATCTCGGTAATGGGCGGCACCTTTGACTCTTTTTCCCTGTTACATGTTGGCCTCTCAAGTCTCAACAGATACAGGACGCAGATTAGAGAGAGGGATCCAGTGTACCTTAGTGCAATTTAAGCACTCTTTAAGCTGCTCAATCATTCACCAAAAGGACAATCTTCTCTCAACTCACTTCACTACACGACAAGCAAATTAAACAGCTCCGCGGGTGATGGTAAAACTTACTCTGTATATAGGCCACACCATGCCCCGTCTCCCATCTGAACACAAGCAGCGGTTCTGAGACATCGGAGACCACCTTCATCTTCCTCAAAATGGCACCGGTGAGCAAATTTTCCCCGTAAAAACTTTACTCGTTTATAATGATAATAATTATACTTATCATATATTCTAATATTTTCTCCTAATTAACGTTCCTCAGCAGAAGGTGGTACTGAAAGTTCTGGCAATGAATGATGAGAAGACGAAGCAGAAAGCCATAGAGGCTGCCGCCGAATGATGAGAAGACGAAGCAGAAAGCCATAGAAGCTGCCGCCGATGTATACGGTAATAATCTCATCTTTAGCTACCCTTTTTGCCCTGTGTTCTCTGTTCTTTGAGCTTTAGTTATTGAACTCTGATCATGTGGCTCATATGGGTATATGAGTTTATTCATTATATTATCATAAGAACTACAAAACATGGAATTTTGAATATGGGAACAGGGAAAACTTTATCACATCTATATATAGGTCCACAGAAGAAGCCAATGGTTTTATTCACAGTCATAGGATAAGCCAGAGAATAATTTGGAACATGGCTGTCAATGTTTGTGCGGTGACAGCAAAGCTTGCAATTTTTATTATTTTGTTCCTTATTGTGATCGAATTAACTCCGTCATTTACAAATATAATAATCTAATTTTGGTGGCTTAATTAGATTTTACTCGTTTATTTTTTGTTATTTTATTGTTATCAGGTGTTGATTCAATTGCTGCTGATCTCAAGGAGCAGAGACTGACTGTAATTGGAGAGATGGATGCAGTTGCAGTTGCAAAGAAGCTGAAGAAACTTGGAAAGATCGATATAATTACAGTTGGACCGGCCAAAGAGGAGAAGAAAGAAGAGAAGAAAGAGGAGAAGAAGGAGGAGAAGAAAGAAGAAAAGAAAGAGGAGAAGAAAGAGGAGAAGGAAGATAAAAAGTAGCGCAGTATTACACTGTAGAGGCATTTTTTCTATAGAGGCATTTGCGCTCATATCTTTAAGAACAACGCGTGAGAGATAATACGAAGAATAAGAATTAAAGATACGTATCGTTACATGATACACATTTCTGTATGTATTTGATTAAAGAATTAATTACATTTCAGGAACCTGAAGTATATATATATGGTGCTATTGTGTGACTTAATCGTGATTAAATCATAGAGATTAAACAATAAGAGCGGAAGCTATATCTGAATCAATTGAGAATCTGAATTAGGGTCTTGATGATCTTCTAATCTTAGTGTTTCTCCTTTTGTATCTCTTTAGATGGAGATAAGAGAATAGAGAATGTGTTAACCCTAGATTAGGGATCATAACCCCATATATATAGGTGTTGTACATTTATAATGTGGCCCCTTATCAAATTATAGTTACAACCCGGTACCTGCACATTTAACACATGACTTATTTAAATATTCATTAACCCAAATTGATTGATTATTTTATACGGGTTATCCTTAAGGATAGCAATACATACTGATAAACATATGTGCCCACAAATTAGATTTAATTAGATTTAAATACAATAGCTATTACACAATATTATCTACATGGGTAATCTCGTGTGATTCCTGATGAGTTTCTTGTTGTATTCTTTCATGCTTGACATTCCTTTACATATTTGATTAAATGAACATTTGAATCTGGCACTATCAGATCGTGTCAGCCCCAAGTCATTCGGTATTATTCCAATATCTAACCTTCAAATATGTCAACAGCTCTGATATGTTTATTATGGGATTGTAGGACGACGACAACTCGTACGTGTATGCCCTAAGCGTGCTTCAACAAAGCATATGGCCAAATGCACGCCAGCTTGAAAAAGATAGATAAACCTACGTACCACAGCTTAGTGTTAAAATATTGATTGTTATGTCAAAGATTTGCACTATAATTTATCTTTTGAGAGGAAGTTGGCTTCATAAGCAAACAACACCTAAACATGATATATGCGTGTGTTGACAAAAGGTGATGCAAATTTGAGCAACTTGATATATTAAAGCAGTGTTTTTTTTTTTTTTTTTTAAGTTCAAGGAATGATACTAGTGTAGAGAAAGAATGGTTTTCCTAACCTGAGATTGCTCCATTATAAAAAAGCTATAATCGAAGTGGAATTTGGTTGGAAAACATCAACCCGGCCTGTACAAAAGAAAAACATGTCAGCATCCATATAATCTATAATGGTTAATGCTGTATGATTGAACATCATTTGTAGCAAAAATAATTTAAAAAACGGCTTCAAAGTGTAATAAATGCAAAACTGGCCATCTGATATCCATTGAATTGCTTACAAAATAACATGACAGCATCAACCTTATAGCTAATGCAGCACAGAGACCAACATTGAGCAAACTATCATTATATTATGGTGGCTTTTCTTAGGTAATAATTCATGAACGCAATCTAGCATTTTTCCAACTCGAAGAACACAGAAGAGAGGCCAAACCTCATTTCCCACTAAAGTACGTAATAGTTGACTGCCTTGATAAATTGGATAATGGATACATCAACACTAATATTACAAAATGGCTGCTTATAGAGTGGGCATCAGATATGATCTCAACCAAATTATAATCATACTACAAGTATGTTGTGCGCAGCGCAAATTTCGGCAGCACCTCGGCGCAACAACAAGGGAGAAAGATCACAATAGGAATTCCCATTTCACCAAGAAAACAAGAACCAAAAGAAATATATATTAACAAAGTGGGATATCAGCTCTTCCTCTCATCAGTTCTAGGGCTGACTTGTCGAGGGAACCTAAATAAACTATTACAAATCACACAATTACAGTGAGACAACCAATTTTACGTGGTTCGGCAAATTGCCTACGTCCACAGGGCAAGGAGGGGGAGATCTACTAGTAGAGGGAGAGAATACAAATAGGGTTTACAATCACACAAATTAAACCCTCACACAAACTCTCATATCTCTCGCAAATATCTCCACCAATGGATGCTCAAAACCCTAACAAAGGCTGCTGTAATTTTTCTCCACCTACTGCAGCCACCAAGCCTCTGCACTTTCACGCTGCCAAAAGAAAAATAAACAGTTGACTTTTACCCTTGCATGAACTCTCTGCCTTGCACCAAGCCCTAAGAAAAAAAAACGAAGAGGTATTTATAAACCTCTCTTCGGGTGGGCCGTTTTAGAGATGCTCTATTTTTTTCTTCTGCTCGCATGAACTTCATGAAGGTGGCCCTCACTTCACAATTCTCCATCTCGGTGAAGTTTTTCCAAAATTAAGCCGACACCAAAGCAACCAAATATACCACTTGTTGTGTCCAGTACGAAGTAAAACAATTCACGACAACAGACTCAATTCATAATAAGTCGAGAACCCAAATAAGAGTCCAAACAATCTCACCCGCATCAAAATCAACTAATCCAAATAGGCTACATCGTAAAGACTGCCTATGTATCCTTTTGTCCAAGGAATCAAGTCTCACGTAGTTCACCCAAATGGCCGCCAACGACCTCAACAATCACGAATGTGCAACAAGTTTCAACAATGATCAAACTTGTTGCTCGGAACCACCTTAGTGAGCATATCCGCCGGATTATCATTCGTGTGGACCTTCACAATCTCCACATCTTTATCTTCAAGAACATCCCGAACGAAGTGATAACGAACATCAATGTGCTTTGTCCTCGCATGAAAAACATAATTCTTCACCAAATAGATAGCACTCATGCTATCACAATGAATAGTGACGAACTGTTGCGATATACCAAGTTCTTCCAAAAGTCCTTGAAGCCAAATAACCTACTTCACAGCCTCCGTAATCGCTATATACTCTGACTCCATCGTAGACAAAGCCACTATCGACTATAAGGTGCATCTCTAATACATCGGCACACGGGTCAAAGTGAATACATACCCTGTAGTAGACCGGCGCTTATCCAAATCACCAGCATAATCCGAATCAACATAGCCAATGCACAACTGCCCACCTGTAGTGTCCCACTCATAAACTAAACCAACATTAAGCGTACCTCGAATGTACCTCAAAATCCATCTCACGGCATCCCAATGACCCACTCCTGGATCGTGCATATATCTCGAAACCATGCTCACCACCTGTGACAAATCTGGCCTTGTACATACCATTGTGTATATCAAGCTTCCAACCACGCTCGTATATGGAGTCTTCGATATCAACTCTCTATCTTCAACTGTATTCGGTGAAAGGTCAGCTGAAAGTTCCAAATGGGCTCCCAATGGTACACTAACTGGCTTTGAATCCATGCTAACATGAAATCATTGTAGAACTTTCTTCAAATAAGCCACATGTTTCAAACAAATTCTGCCCTTCTTCTTGTCTCTGTCGGTCTCCATCCCTAAAATGCGTTTTGTCTCACCCAAATCACTCATCTCAAACTCCTTTGAAAGTTGTGCCTTCAACTCATCTATAGCAGATTTGGAAATAGAGGCAACCAACATGTCATCGACATAAAGTAACAAATAGATGTACGTACCTCCTTTCAACTTACGAAAATATACGTAAGGATCAAACTGGCTCTGAGTGTACGAATGACGAATCATAAAACCTTCGAATCGCCTATACCACTGTCGAGGAGACTACTTCAAACCGTATATAGCGATTTCTTCAATCTGCAAACCAATTTTTCCTTCCATGCAGCTCGAAATTCCAATGGCTAAGTCATATATATTTCTTCATCAAGATCATCATGAAGAAATATCGTCTTCATATCCAACTGATCTAACTCCAAACCATATTGTGCCACCAAAGTTGGCAAAATCAGAATCGAAGAGTGCTTCACCACTGGAGAGAAAACCTCATTATAATCTAGTCCTTCCTCCTGTGCATAGCCCTTCGCAACCAACCTAGCCTTGAACCTCAATGGAGTGCCTTCAATGACCTCCTTCTTCGTGTATATCCACTTACAACCAATTACCTTCCGCCCTTTTGGAAACTCAACAAGCTCCCACGTATCATTCTTGTGAAGAGACTTCATCTCCTCTTGCATAGCTACCTACCACGAATCAGCCTCCGAACTCTGCTCGGCCTCTCTGAATATAGCATACACCAACTCATCGATACTCTCCACTGGAAGTGCATATGAAACTACTATATCGGTATACTGTGCTGGCATCCGTATGTCTCTCCTCTGTCTCCGAACCGTAATAGAATCCTAAACCTGACCTGTCGGTTCCTGATCCTGCACATCAGTACCCATATCCTCCGTGTCACCATCGTGCTCACCTGGCATCACCTCAGTCGACACTCTAATGGATATTATACCATCTGGACACTGTGGAGCTGCATCGATTTTCACCACCTGTGATATCTCCTCTGGCGGGTCACTCTCCACCTGATGAGAGCTGGAAAACTTTAAGATAGAAGCCTTATCGAATGTGACTTCCCTACTCAGAACAATCTTTCTATTAACTGGATCTCATAGCTTGTATCCCTTGACACCACGCTTGAATCCTACAAATATGGCCTTCCTAGCTCAAAGTTCTAATTTATCTGTTCTCACATGATAAAATGCAGGGTACCCAAATACCTTGAGCTGGTCATAGTCATGTGTTGGCTCTCTCGACCATATTTCTATAAGGGTCTTCTCCTCAATCATAAATGAAGGTAGCCTATTAATAAGGTGGCTCGCATATGTAAGTACCTCAGCCCAAAAGATCTTCTCCAAACCACTCTGCGACAATAAACATTGGACCTTCTCCAGCAAAGACCGATTTAGCCTCTCTATTATCCTATTCTATTACGGTGTATGACTAACTGTGAAGTGCCTCTCTACACCATCGTCTCGACATAGCTGCAGAAAAGGGTCTGAAGTTTATTCACCATCGTTGTCGTATCACAACGTCTTGATCTTTCTTCTAGTCTGTAGTTCTAATATCTTTTTCCACTCCACAAACAAATCTAGGACTTCATTCTTATGCTTCATGGTGTACACCCAATAACGACTAGAATAGTCATCTACGAACGTGTCGAACCAATATCGACTATCAAGTGATGCAGTCTTTGTGGGACCCCAAACGTCTGTATGCATGTAGTCCAGGATGCCCATCATCCTATGAATGGCCATCCTGAACTTCACCTTCGTCTTCTTGCCAAGAAAACAGTGCTCACAGAATATCACTTTAC